ATCACGATCTTGCATTCTTATTGGCCAATTTAACGATCTGCAAAGTAAAAATAGTCAATCGACCAACTTTTAAGGATTATTTTACGAAAACCACAAGGACAACAACCGAATGTTTATTCACAGATCAATCAGCTGAATCTCAAAGATCATTTTTGTATTCGGTAGTAATACCTTCAGAAAAAGTTTTTTATAACAGAAAAAAAATTTCGGCTATCAATAGCCGAAAAACCGTTTAAGAGATATTAATTTAGACATTTAGACATTTAGACATTTTTGTCTAAACCCAAAAACAATTTTTTTTTTTTGTTTTTCTCGCGGAACAAACCATAATTACTTTGGCCATAATCATACTCATCAAAACTCGAACAATCGTGTGGACATCACCAACAATTTTTCTCTAGTCAGAATTTAAACGAAGAGAATTTGGATAGATAAAACTATAATGACAATAGCAATTTAACTCGAGACCAATTTTTTTTATGTCGGTTCAGCTTGTAACAAGCGCTAGTACTAGGACAACAGCCGCGGAAGCAGTAATCATTAATGTTTATCATTTCTATAAATTTATGTTTTTGTGCTAGGTGCATTCGCAAACTGTTTACTGGTATTTGTATTACCCGTAGTATTTTATGTTAGATTGTTTGGGTGGAATGGTATGACTATTTGGGAAATGATTTTAAATTTATTTGTGATAAAATCATTTGACGCAATGTACATATATTATTATTTACTTTTTTTTTTTTTTTTTTTAATAACTAGAAGTTAATTATTATCATAATTAAAAAATAAATAAATCTTGAATCATGTAAAAATTGAAGCAAAGCATACTCATTGTTCTACGTCGGTTACAATTTTATATCATTAGAATTAAAATTTCGATCTTGAGGAAAATGGAATGAATTTTTGATTAACCATAAGATTTCGAATCTCTTGATACAAAATCTTGCTTTAATTAAGCGATCAAATCAAATGATATGTCTAACGATCATATAATTTTACTTTTAAGTCTTATTATTATATAGTTTGAAATTTTAATTTGATAATCATTCATTGTATGACACATTCTAATAAGACTTTGCAGCATCAACTGTAATAAAAGTTTTTCCCAACAAAATGGCAAAGAATAACATATGGACCCATCCAAATTTGTCCAAGTAATTCTGGAGGAATTTCTTTCATATTAGTTAAACGATGGCTTTTGAAAAAAAAACCAGATTAATTAATTAAATTAGAAAATGAATTATGAAGAACAACTTTATTTTTATTATAACTAATAAACAAACTGTTCTTGTTGTTCCTGCTGCTGTTGTTAGAATATTTTCTAATCTCAGTATGTCTTTAACACCAAAACTAACCATTTTTTTATACCGACCTCTGTCATTGTTGGCTATAAAAATTAGTTGATCTTTAGTCAAATTGTTACGACTATTATTATTGCAGTTGGGAGAAAATATTGTTGGTAATAATTATAGGATTTATTGAGTTACCAATGTTGATGATACTTGTAAGTCAACAAAGTATTGACTAGTAGTGTTCATCGTCGGATTTGCTGAACAAGACCATTATTTACAACAGCGTTTTGGTAAATGTTGTTTGAAATGAATGCTCTGTCCGATTTTTCGTTAGAAGGAAGATTATAATGAAAAATTTTCAATTTTTTTAAAAAACAGTGGGGGGAATAATATATAGGAAGGAATAATAACCAAGAAAATTTTCCTGTGTGAAAATACGCATAACACACACACAATACATACACAAGAGGTTACAACAATAATAACAATAGAATTTGATATACCATATATAGTAATAGTGATATATAAATCAATTTTTTTATATTTCTATTTTAGTCAAATATCAAACTTTAAAATAATTTTTATTAATAACAAAAATAGAAAAAAAAAAGCAATTTATTTTATATTTCACACATAATAAATATTTTCATCCAAATCATGGAAAATTCAGCTCAAAAACGTCATATTACAGAGGACCCCTTGAACCTTGATGAACAACAAAACTATCAAACTCCCAATAGTAGTTCTACTAAAAGGATGAGGATAACATTACCACCACCAATAAATACTTTACAACAAACACCACAATTTGAAAAGATCGGCTCATGGAGTTTACCTCCTTTAACCTTTTCCTCCAAATTTCCTCCCAATCATTCTTCTAACGTGTTTGATCAGTCGCCACCACTAATACCAACACCACAAAGTAATCAACAACAACACCAATCATCTTTACCAAGATTTGAATTGCCGCCTCTAAAATCCTTAGTAGCATCGAAATTATCACCACCACCACCACCACCGCAAACAACTAAATCATCAACGATAGCAGCTACTATTACACCTTATACTCCAAAGAATTTTTCTCAATCATCCTCGTCCAATAACAATAACAATAATAATAATAATACGTCACCGTATAATTTGTCATATGCATCATCGTCTACTACTTCTGCTGCTGCTGCTAAATCTAATCCGATGTCTGTGTTTGCAATTCTTTCAAATGATGATGATGATAACACTTTTAGTTATAACAATAACTTCAAAAGCACCAATGAACAAATCATAAACAATAATAACAACAACATCATTAAGAACAACAACAACAACAACAACAACAACAACAACAACAACAACAACAACTACAATTCAAAAAATCATGATGAATGTATTCCTTCCCCGTTGCAATGTTTACTTGAAGCGATTGAAATAAAGGAACAAAAAGAAATAAATAAAAGTGGTGGATTGGAGACATCTTCTAATAATGATTATCATGTGAAAGAAGAATACGGTGAAGATAATGGTGATTATAATGATTATGATGAAAACGAAGATTATAATAACATTGATAAAGATAAACTAGCTAATTATTATGAAGAGATGAATCATCATGATGCTACTAAACTTGAAGAAATTTCACGAGTGATTGTTCATAATGACGAGTCTTTAAACATGAATGGTTTTAAAGAAAAAAATCTTGGTTTGTTAATAATAATTTATTTATTTTTTGATTGTTAAGTTTGACTTATATATGCACTAATATTAATAATATATTTGTTGAATGTAATAAAAAAGGTCATTTACTTTATAATCCCAAGGAAATTCTTCCACCACTGGAATTCAAAGAAAATGGTTTAATGGAAATTTGGATACAAGCTAAACATTTGACATGGGATAATACCAAAGTTAAAGAGCATTTTGTATGGGGAACAGACATTTACTGTGATGACTCAGATGTTGTTGCGACTCTTATACACTCTGGATTATTTGTCCCTCTTGAATATGATAAATCAAAGGTCGTACAAAATCAACCTAATTATGATCTTCATGTTACCATTCGTGCCTATCCAAAACTACTTTATTATAAGGGCACCAAAAGAAACAATTATAAAAGTAGATGTTGGGGTGATCATCATGGAGTTAGCTACAAAATTGAAAAGGTTGAAAAAATACAAATCGGCGAAGCGATTTGTAGATCAAAAGGTGGCAAAGGAACAAAAGAAAGAATGAAAAATTTTCTTGTAAAGAGAAAAAAAGCATTTAATGTATCAAATAATCAAAATGCCATTTTATTCCTTTTTAACAATGAACATGATCCTTGTTATAAGTATTCACCAGAATTGATGTCAGATAGCAAATATATAATTAACAGACTATATTCTGAAGTCTTGTACTTGGAAAATGATGATGAAAGGTAATTTACATGTACACGCGTATATATATATATATTATATATATTATAATTTATACTTACTCTTCTTTTTCTCCGTCATTGCAATCAGATATGAAGTATCATATAATGAGAAGCAAAACAAATATAGATTTTCAATAGTATCACCATCAGTTTATTTAGGAGACAGAAATAAAAGCAATTTAAAACACCCGTTAAGTTCAGATAAGTTGGATGAAATAATTCGGGATGATTTAGATTTTCATGAATTATCATGGAATATTGTTGGTGTGGTTGTAGCAGATAAACAAAATCAACAACATAGCTTATTATGCATCATCAACAGAATATTTTGGTATTCAAAAAGTCAAGACTAAATGATTATAGAATATAATAATATATAGATGGAGTTTTGATAGATCTATCTGAATTTTTAATATTTTTAATATTTTAATCTATCAGAATATTTTTTTATTTATCTTGAATACGTAGTTTAATAAAAAAAACAAATTAATTCAACGTATTAATTTCATTCATCATTCATTTTAATTTTAAAGTTATTACACAAATTGGTGCACTTTAATCATTCTATATGTTATTGATTGACATCCGTGATTATTTTTCGGCACCGTCCATCCACATTTACTATTCTTATCTAAAGGCGAAACTCGAAAATTTATTTGTCATTGTTACACAACAAAAATTAAATTCGAAACATTTAAACAAAAAAACAACAAAATTGATGAATTTGTTACAAATAAATTTTTATGCATATAATAATAATAATAATAATAAATAATTATAATATAATAATCATTATAAGCAACAACAATGGAAAAATAGTGGTGTGTGGTTAGTGTGGTGAGACAGGAGAGCGAAATTTTAATTTTAATTAAAAACTGTTAACAACACAACATTAATAGCTAGTTTAAAAATCTTTTGCTATCAGTTATACGAATGAGATTTATCCGACCATTTTTGATCGGCAAGTCTACATTTATTATAAAAAAAAAAAAAAAAAAAAAAAAGAAAAAAGCTTCATTCATCCATCTGTTCATATAATTTTTCTCTCCTTTCTTTTTAATTTTTTTAATTTTTTTTTTTCAAATAAAATTAAATGTTTGTTACTTTTTTTATTTACTTTTTTGTACTTCCTTTTTGTACTTCCTTTTGGAAATAACCAATCAATTTACTAAATTATATTTTTAAAATTAATATGAATTAACTAATACAATTTGACCTAATTCGACTTGTTATTGACATGTATCACAAATTTCTTACAGTAATGTTTATACCATATTATTTAATTTTTAATAATCTTTTTTAAATTTTTATTTTTTTTTTAATTATTTAAAAAGTAAAAATATAAAAACATGCACATATTTATTTATATAAACATTTGATTTAAAAAATAAAAAATTTTTTTTTTTTAATTTTAAAACTTTCAAGGCCAAAGGTTTTTGTCGGTAGGTTAGAGAGATTCTTGGGCTTTTTTCCGAGTTAAGTTAATTGATGGATAAGTCGATCGGTTTGATTGGTGATTGATTGGCACTGAATATACGTAATCAATCTTTTTTTTTAATATTGATTATTATGGTTAAAAAACAAATTCTCTCACTAACCAACCTCCTCCTAACTCTCTCTCTCCCTCACTCTCTCTTTTTTCTCCTAAATAAATAAATTAATTAATTAAAAAAATAAATTGAATTATAAATTATCATCATCACCCACCACCACAACGCAACCAATAATTGATGATGATATGCAATAAAAATAACAGATTTACCAAATACCTATTACTGTAATTTATATAACTCTAATTTGTTATTATATATAGCATTTATTTATTAATAAAAATTGATTTCATTTGCTTGCTGTACTTTATTTGTTAAAAAAAAAATTATTATTCAAATGTTGCGTTACTTCAGATGTTTCACAGTTCATTAAATTTGTGACTCATTTTTTTTTTTTTAATAATTAAACAGGAAGAAGAACAAGAAGCAGAAAAAAAATAAAGGATGTCAACAGCACTCCTTTTTCTAAAATTCTCCGTTATTTTCTCAGACATGTTACATTTCAGTCATTAACTCAGACATGTTACATTTCAGTCATTAACTCAGACACATTAACTCAGATATATTAAAATTTAGTTATTAACTCGTAATTATAAGCTTTTGATAAATTTATATATTAATTAGGTTATTTACAAAAGCAATTATACTCTCAACCGATTTTCTCTCAAAGAATGAACAACAAGAAAATCTCGTATGCCTAAAAAGAGCAAGAAATAAATTTTATATTCTATATAAATCTTTTTTTATACATTATATAATAATTATTATTATATACATTATGTACGTGTATTTTACTATTATATATATTTATTATAATAAATAATTACACAATCAATTACATTTTCAATTATAATCAATTATTATTGTTATATAGTGTGTTACCATGAAAAATTTTTTTTCTCCTTTTCAATAATAAAAAAATAACAATAAATAGCGAATATAAAAAAAATTTTTCAAAAATATATAAATAACACATTTTATTCTCTTCTTCTACGACACAGAAAAAAATTATATTTTCAGCAACTGTTGTACACTTTAAGAAATATTATATATACTAATACATTGTCTACTATAATTATATTTTTTTTTTCTGAATATTTCTATAAAAAAATTTTTTTTTTACTCTACTAAAGATTGTAAGTAATGATTTATTTATTACAGTATTAAAAATAATTATTTTCAAAGACCAAGACTATTTGCTAATAATAAATTTCTCTTCTTCTTTAATTATTATTATTATTATTATTATAATATATATATATATACATATATATACATACATACATATATATATAGCTTTGAACTTGGTTGTGTTTATATAATATATCATCTATTCTAAAAGAGACGACGACGTTTACAATAAAATTATTTTTACGTACTTTACTATATTCAATTCTATACGACCGTTATCTCAATCCCCTATCACATTTTATCTCTTATATATACATACACTATTTTTTTTTATATATATATTTATCATCTTTACATTTATTTGCATTTATAAAAAAAAAAAAAAAAAAATCCCCCTTCACTTGTTTCTCTTTATCATTTCGCTTTTTATTATTTTTTTACAAGACTTTTTGGTAAGTTTAACAATAAGTTTTTAACAGTGGGGGCTTAGTCATACACAGCCTTATAATGTGTTTTTAATTTCTCAATTGATTACTATTTTTTTAGCGCTTCCATTTTATTATTATATTATTAAATTACCATTATTATTACTAATTACTATTAGTTGGTACCACACACAAATATCCATCCATACCTTAATTAATTAGTGTAAATATTTCATTCTCCGAAAAAAAAAAATAACTCATTACATAGTCATTAGTCTTATTTTTTCTTTTTTTTTCTTTGATCAAACAATCAAAATTAACTAATCAACTAATAAAAATCTTATATTTCAATATATATTTATATATTCATATATATATAGATTTGAATTTCATAAAATGGATACCGCTACCAGATTTATAATTAATAATAATAATCATAATAATAATTATAATAATTCAAATAATCTTGTACAACGTTTACATAGTACGTATATAATTTTATGAAAAATTTTGAAGATTTTCTAACATCCAATTACTACTACTACTACTACTACTACTACTACTACCGCTACTGCTGCTGCTGCCGCTACCGCATGCGATCGATTGGTTTGATAATTAATTAATAATGATTGTTCTATTAGTAATAACGTCAACAAGCAAACAACAAATTACTTTTTTTTAAAAAAAAAAACTAAAAATTATTATCAATAACATGTCGCTAAAAAAATCCAATTATGGAATGATCAATGGAATCATCGTTGTGCTTTTATCATAATATTATTTCAATTGGCCGTCATAACAACAACTATTTTTTAAGAAAAAAATTATATTTTTTATAACAAGAAATAATAATGATAATGATAATGATAATGATAATAATGATAATAATGATAATAATGATAATAATGATAATAATAATGATAATAATAATGATAATAATAATGATGATGATAATAATTATTGATAAAAAAAAAAATGGACACCGACAACAAATAATAATAAATCTCTTCCGATTCAGATTCTCAATGAACAATAATCAAGACGACAACGATATTTGTTGCTACTTAATCTAATCTTGTTTGCGTTGATGATTCCCTTGCAAATAAAAATCATGGCAGCAGTAGCGGCAGTGTTTTAGAAGTAGTAATTTGCTAATTAGTTTTCTTTTTCGTGTTACTAATCAACCAATTTTCAAATTTTCAAATTGTTAGGTCTAAGCAACGCATTCATTAATGTGCCTACTGATCCACAACAGCAACAGCAGCAACAACAACAACAGCAACAGCAGCAACAGCAACAACAACAGCAACAGCAGAATCATCGTCCACCATCATCCTTAAGAATCACCACATCATTCGTACGTTCTCCTCCGCCTTCACCATCATCGCAACCACAATTGTCGCCATCTACTACCGTACAAAATGCTGCTACCATAACCGCAACTGCTACCACAACTATAAACTTTGGACCTGCTACTAGCGATCAAAAAAAGAATATCGTTAATGACGTCTTGTTGTCGGAATGTATCATGAATACTGACGATAACGATAATGACCATAGTAATAATTTGCAATCTGATAGCGATTCTGCATCGGAAGTTGATAGTTCAAATTCGGTTCCTATAACTCCAATTGATATTTGTAAAAGCGATGACCTAATGTGGAGCATAATTTACGACGAGTTGGACAAGGCTGATAAGAGATCTGCGCAAGATTCTTCTTCATCTTTCACTTCTTCAATCTTCAATCCATCAACTTCTATTGTTCCCTTTTTAAATAATGATAATGATAATGACAACAACAACAGCAACAACAACAACAACAATTCTACCTCCATCACTTCGCCCGAAGTTCCCTCATCTGTCATCTTTAACAACGACAACCGCAACAATAATAATAACTCACCTTTGCCATTATTACCAATAACATATACCACATCCATTACTACCGCAATCATTGATGATGATAATAGTAATACAATACCACAACGTTCGTTACACGATATAATAATTAATGGTGGAACGAAAAGACTCTTTACAACTTTGGAATCGGTCATTGAAGCTCCCGCTGCTACAACTGTACCCACCACCGCTACATCAAACTCTGCACCTTCTCCTCCCTCATCATCATCTACTAATATTTCCGAATCGACTTCAACCACCGCTTCTCCTCCCACCACCACCGCTACACCATCAAATATCAACAACAACAACTGCAATAATGGTAATGGAAGTGGATACGACCTTTCGAACTTGTTGATTCAGAATGCCGTGCAAGCACTTTCTCAAATATCAGATCCGATCATACCAGTCAACATTACATCAAATTTCACCACTAATGTGATGTTGATGATGATGAACGGTAATTGCAACAACAACAATTACACAATCGATCCAAAAATCATCACCACCACAAGACCTCCTCCAATAGTTCCAAACATCATTACGAATTTTAGTAAAAATGCCATTGACAATAATAATATTGTTATTAATTGCAATGATTTAAATAACGATCGTAGCTTTTCAATTATTAGCCCACCTTTGGAAACTCCAGAACTTGTGTCAAGCGGATGTGATAGTAGTGGTAGCAGTAACAATAACGATAAAAGAAAAAGAAAATTGAGTATTATGTCTTCTTCGTCCGATGACGATGATGATGACGACGACGGCGACGATAATGCTAGTAATGATAACAACAATAATGATCATAATGATAACGATAACAAATACCCAGAATCAAAAAAGAGTCGAAGAACCAATGGCGGAGATGAAAGAAAGATGTTGATGACGCTACGATATGGTGACAAATTATTATCATCCGTTTCAGGAAAAGTCAAGCCAACAACTGTAGTAGACAATGTTAGTAATGCCAATAATAATAATTCTGATGGCCACGTTGAACAAAAGCAACTTGTTGTAAAAGTATCAAATAGCAATAACAAGGGTAATAATAAGAATGTTATTAATGGTAAGCAACAAAAAGTAACTGCAGCAGACCGAAAACAAAAGGCTACAGTTTATTATGATGATGAGGAATTTCCTGCATCCCTCTCCTCCTCCTCATCTTCATCCTCATCTTCGTCATCGTCATTATCACCATCAACAGCAGCATCATCCACCAACACCACTTCAGACGATGATAATGAGGACGACGAAGATTATGTCCCACCAACCGAGAAGAAAATTAAGAAAAAATCTGGTAGAAAGCCACGTAGCAGTAACAAATCAAAGCGTAATAAGAAGCAACCCATGGTAAACTCTGGGTTGGCCGCCTCTTCTTATTCTTATTCTTCCCCTTCCACCACCTCCACCACAGGTCACGTCATCAACAATCATACTGAGGGGGCCAAAAGGTTTGTAAAAAAAATTTTTCCAAAAAAAAATTTATATTAAATAATAATAATATTAATATTAATAATATTAATAATAATAATAGGAAAAGAGTCGAATGTCAAGCCCCTGTTAGTAACAAAAGAATAAGCGTTGTTGTTAATGAGTCCCAACATGGTTTTGCTGCCGCTGACTTGCGCCAACAACCTTTGGCTCAGGCGGTAGCTAGTGGTGATGTAGTATCTGCTGCTGCAACTCCAGCATCGTCATCATCACCATCGTCGCATACACCAACAATATTTGAACAATTTACTGAATCAGGAATTGATTGGTGTAGATATTGCGGAACCACTGAGGGAGTCAATTGGCGACCTGGACCTTGGGGCAAGAGAACTCTATGCAAGTAAGTAACTTTCTTTTTGATTTTATTTATTTATTATTCACATGTTGCTATCATTCATGAAACAATTTATTAATAAATATTTAACCAATTAATTTATTTGTTATTAGCAAACACGGTTGTGACTACAAAGGCTACGGTTTCGCTTGCAGGACCCCTCGATTAGATTTGAGTAGTTTTGCTAGCGAGAGCATAGCAGACCGTAGACAGCCAGTCTTACAACTTTGTAAGTTTATTTAAAATTAAAATATCAATCGATTAATTCATTTTTTCATGTATATAAATATTTAAATCTTTGTTTTATATTTATAGACTGCTGGGTTTGCTTCGAAAATGAATCATGCAAAGGGGATCATTTGATTTCTTGCGGTGGATGTCCCAAGGCATATCACCATAGTTGCCTTGAGGTGCCTACCACCGAACAAGCCGTTGCTGGTGGTGCTGGTGCTTGGTATTGTGGAGAAGGATGCAAAAATAATTATAACAATAAAAAAATCGGTAAAATTATTATTATTATTGTTATTGTTATTGTTATTATTATAATTTACTAATTTTATAAAATCTATAAATTAAACATATATAGTGGTGGAACTTCCACGTAAGAAAATGCCCTTGATGTTGGATCCTAAAAATCAAGGAGTGGAGGGTCCTGTGACTAGCGCATCTCGTTCTCAAGCTTCTCGAAGATCTTCAAGAGTATAAGGATAATTCATTTATAATAATTACAAATATTGACAATAATCAAGAATAGATAATATATTTCAAAACAAAAGAATGTAAATACATTGTATATAAATTTTAAATTTTTAGACATAGAAAAAAAAACGAACAATTTTATTATTTTTTTTTATCGATTTTTTTATCGATGTTAGTGGGAGGAATCTTAAGGTGTAAATTTTTTTATTTTATCTTACATTAAGGACTTTATTGTATAAAAAACTTTTAGAATTTTAGAAAATTTAAACCATTTTCATTTTTTTTTTTAATCATTATATTTTTTTATAGACTTTTTTATAGACGAACATTTATTGCTATATAGAATTTTCAAAACAATCAACCTCATCCTATGTATAAATTTATGACTTTAATAATTTTTAATATAATTTTCATTTTCACAACCAAAACCTACGATTTTAATTTTTAATAATGATAATAATAATAATAATTAATAATTAATAATAATAATAATAATAATAATAATAATAATAATAATAATAATAATATTTAATTCTAATCTAATCTTTAATTTAATATTAATAATTGTTTTTTGTAAATAAATAAAATGTTTTTTATTGTCTATACTCGAACGAGTATAATAAAAAAAATTTTAATTGTCTACAACTCAAACGGGTATAATAAAAATCGATGTTACCAAATTTGCCAAATTTTAAAAAATTCGCGTAATTAAAAAACATTATTAATATGCATTGCATAATATTGCGGATTTGATTGGCTTGAATAAATTAATCTATTTCATTTTTGAGAAAAGGAATTCAATTAATTCAATTAAATTATTGCATGTATTTTGCTAACTCAATATTTATAACCAATGATAAAAAAATGCAAGTTTTTATCAATTAGATAATTGGAAGCAAATTTTTATTTATAACACAAAACCATTGTTTTAGCAATAATTATAGAACAACTGCCTTGTTCTATTATCCACACGCCCATTTGTCTAATAATAAGAAATGTAAATAAATATATCATACAAAACTATAATTTAACAATAATTATGAACGGCTACCTTTTTTCTTCTGCTGGTTCCTATTATCTAATAATAAGAAATAAATACTACCTTTTGACGTCCATCTTGAAATAATCTGCATATATATTATAATTTATTTAAATATTAAATTTATATATAAATTTATGGAATTTTCTACCATAATTGAAATCTTGATCAACTTGATCAAGTTGACTAAAGCAATAGCATTCTACTAAAAGGAATATACATTCAAGTAAAATAGCATCAATTTTTTAATCATGTTACTTATGGATCACATAATGCACATTTTTGTTATTTATTCACGTGACATTTTTGTATGTCACAAAGTGTCAAAATAAATTATTGATCTTTTTGTATATTATGTATGTCACGCCATCTTACTAAACCAACAATCACTGTTTTTACTTTGTCAATTAATTAATTGTTCTTCTGTTGCAGCCAGATTCAGCCATGGCCTTTTATAGACGAACTTCATAACCAAAAATGGAAATGTAACACTGCATGACCACAAAAAATATGGTTCCTTCTCGGGTATATATATATAAGATAAAGATTGTTTAAGAATTATTATTTAATGCTCTACAAATTATACCATAGATGGTTTGATATTGAACTACAGATCGATCAAGACGACAAATGCGAGAAAACGTACGAGTGATATGTGAAGGTGGTGGGGTAGACGATTGTATATTGTTGATGTACCATCTGTAATTAGAAACGAAATGGAGAAACAGTTATTCAAATGACTAAGCAATTATATATAAGATAACTTCCATCATTATTATTTCTCCAAGAGAAGGTAACCCTTAATATCACAAGATAGTTAGTTACCTAGTTGATACTGCTATTAAAACACATGTTACGTGGTGGTTGATGGATATCGTGGTGTGAATGTTGTGGAAGTTAGTGATGATATCTTTGGTGAACCATTATTATATCTATTATATTATATAACAAAAAAAAGTTAGAACCAACCAGTATTCCTTTTTATCATCATTGCAATAGACTAGCCATCATTCTTCAGACAGGTTATTTTATAATAAGAAAAAAAGTACTCTAAATCGTGAATGGTCTCTATGCGAATGTAATAAGTCCTCTCTGAATTGTCATGAATCCAGGTTGGTAAGGTCAAGACCAACGCTATGATACTTTGTTCCGCAATAAAGAGTGAATAATACAATTTGCCTTTGTTTTTTGTTTTTATTTTTCAAAAAAGAATTTTTCACGTATTGACTTTATTATGATCTTCCGCACATCCATTAATAATTCTCCAATATTTGGAATATTTGGTTCCTTAATACATGTCTTTTTGTTGATATATTTTGGTTCCTAAAATGAGAAGAATGATAGCAAATAGTATGTTAAGTAGATATCTTTTTTGATTTTAACATTCTTAAAAAGAATAATAAATTTAAATTTCAGAATAATTATAAACATTAATACGTTGCAGTGTCCCAAAACGGGAGGGTAACATATCTTTTATGTTTATACGTTGCAATGTGAGGGTAGTGTTACAGTAATTAGTGTGCACCTTGAATTACGAGTAGGCAGAACACGCCTTTCAAATATATTGCAGTGAGTCTTATCGGGAGGGCTACTTATCCTAATAGTAGCATGTCCTTTTATATTGTTACGTAATATTCTGGAAAGGAACGTACGCAACATAACTCACTTATTTTGACACGTTAATTTATATTTGTCAACACTCTCCAACATATTATCATATTAATTAATAAATAAATGTTCGTTTATGATAAAAAGAAAACATTTGCATCAATCTTTCGACAAAGAAAATCTAGTAATACTAATACTATTACTACGTTGTTCATTCCATGGTTATTATAAAACGATAGATTGTGGATGATGTTGCGGATGATGTTGATCATTTGATGAGGTCAATGTTTTCAAAGATTTGCGGGGACTGGATTTTTGCAAGATTTTTCATGGTAATAAATAAATAAATGGAGGTTACACGCACCTAATACTAATGAATATCAACGAGAGATCAACGAAATTTTGATAATAATAAATAATAACGATCAGTGTTACGCATCTTGCGCATGCAATTTTTAATTTCCCCATAGAATTATGCGTAACGAATAAAAAACACGTACTTTTTTTCGTTGCACTGCATGATTCACTCATTAATAATCAATATCAAAACTATGATTCGAGTTTTCTAAGCTGAACTCAGGACCTCCTTGTCCAAAATTGGTAATATTAATCTATCACTATGACATAATAATCAAGCATTTTCTAGTAGGAAATTATAAATCATATTAATACCTATCGCCCAGAAAATATTATGATCATGAGAACTGATGCTACATAGCTATGTGTGAATATTTTTGAAAAACTTACCTCAACCAATTGTTGATAATGGAAACAGTCGAGATAATGTAAAGTGATGTGGAAGAGGAGATCAAAGTAAATTAAAATCTCAAAGATTAAAATACCGGACGGGTTAATAGAAGAACTAAATTTTTTTATTATTATTTTCTTTTAAAAGCGCGTAGATTTTCTTTAATTGTTGTATAAAATTGTTGTACAAACAGATATCGTAAAGTTTTTCGTGAGAAACCATTTATATTTACGGATGAGAGATTTTTACATATTTGTTGCTCTTTATTCTCATGTTTTTTGCTTTATTCTAACCTAATATATTAAATTTGTTCCAATGACAATTGTCTGCCGAAGCTGTTCTTGAATCTGCTGTTAATAATAACCCAGAATCAAAAAAAAAAAGTTGATAGTATTATCATCTCTGGCAGTGATATTTCAAGCACACATAGTTCGCGCATAGTTAGTGGAAAAGTAAGCGAAATTCTTTTCTATTGCCTCATAATGCTTACATCCACTACGTGCGGGTCCTACATCCACTATGCGTATGCACACTATATATATGTACTATGCGCACTGTGCGCACTGTGCGTACTGTGCTCAAGTTTACTATGAATGGCACATCACTAGGTGTAAGAATTATAGATCAATTGGACATAGCATTGGGTAGGTTCTGCAAAAATGAAAAAATAATTAACCTAATAATAATAGTAATAATCATAATAATAGCTTATCTAATAAAAGGTGCTGCTACATCTTTCTCGATATTGTACTCGTAACATGGCAACTCATCACTACATCAACAACAAATACCGGCATTCGTAATAGGAGGAAGGAATCATCAATGATTATTATATAAAAAAAATATTAAAACCGATTATTATTATTTCCATGATGTAATAATACTTAGAAAGTGTATTAATTAGTATGTGAACTCATTCAGGTTACGTAACTTTCCGAAATATTATTGTAATTTTTGGACTGGAAGCCAGATTCAAGAGTATTTATCTAGTAAATTATGGTGCAGGGGTTCTATAATCATGGTTCAACTCCCCCACTATGTCAAATTTTTTAATTTTTTTAATATTAACTAGAGGAATACTTTATGACAGTGAAGAAATCATTGGTATTACTTGTTATTTATTGTTTTGTTTCTATTCAAAATAAAGGTTATTATTTGAATTATAATTGAATATCAAAATTAATATGCATTATTTTACGTTAAGTTAAGTTTGAATGGAAAGTCCATGTTCATTTTGTTATAAAAAACCTTGTCAATCTTGACTGGTATACATAACAAATATATTTCTTCTTATTAATTAAAAAAACGTGGATATTTAAAAGTAATCCTATTATTCCAACATATTCTAGCTAATGAAGAAACATTTAAACTAAAGAAAGGACAGTAAGTAGCAAATTGGATCAAATGGTATGGAGTTAATTTTAAACAATCATCTACAAGAATTATCCAAAGAAAGGTAAACAATATTTAAAGACAAACATTTGAAAAAAATCAAAAAAACCAATAATAATACATTTATTGTTTTTATATTACTATCTCTTGTAAGTCCGTTGAATTGAAAAAGTAAACTACTTCGTTTTCATTTATGTTTCTTTACTCTGGCATCTTCTTAATTCTTTCTTCAATTTAAACATGTTATTCTACCAAACTTGAATTTTTTTTTTCTTGTTATTTAATTACAATTATCATTTACCAATGTTTTACGTTTTCTAATTTATTTTTTATAACGGTATCTTTTCCAATTTTCCTAAGCTTTTATCAATCGCTGATTTTTCCTCCTTCTCGCGTTATTGTATTTGTTATTTCATCATATAATAATAACAAAGAATATTAAATTTGGTCGGTATTGGTGATGGTGTTGATTAAGAATTATATATTTTTGATAATCAAATCTTGCATACAATGGAGATTTAAAAAATGACGATTTTTTACTTTTGCGACACCGATCACATAAATGGTTAAAACGGTTCATTCATTCAGTTAAGGTTTCAAGTAATATTAAAAATTATATAATTGTGTAATATTGTAATAATTTATATTTAAAGGAAAAATAATTCTTGAAAAAAAAAAATCAATAATTTTAAAACTTCAAGAATAAACTGACACAGCAATAATGTACGAACCATTTTTGATGCAAGCTTATTTTGGGTGTTCCAGTGGTCTTTTCACCATGGTAATGTGAATAAAAAAGCTTACATAATTAGATTAATTGATGAATCATTAATTTATTTTAATAATTGTTACTTGAATAGGCGCATCTTTATAATTTGTTTGTTTCAATAGCCTTATATAGATCTCAGGCAAATTTGTCGAATATTTTTAAAATTTTATATAATTTTGGAGGATTAATTCGAGCTATATGTCTATTTTGTCAATTAATGGTACCACTTGATATGACAATAAACGAATGTATTGTATTAACACATTTAACTGCTGCTGCAATTTATGTTAACAAAACTGCATTACAAGGATTTTTATTATGGCGACTAAGAAATATTGGAGATGATGATTATAAAAAAAATGATTTATGTATTGGCACCGTGCTATTTGTTACAAGAATTGCTTTTAATGTAAATATAGTTTATTTATTATATATATATTTATATATATTTATATATCTTATTTTCTAACTGGTACTTGTTTTTTTAAAAATAGTTTGCTCAATTTTTTAAATTAACACCAGAAGCGTTTTATGATGAAAAAGAAAAGGCCTATTATTGTAGTCAGGGAGTTGATATGGCTAGGACTCCAGTATTAGGATTCTTATTAACTGATTTACTAATTGATATTTATGTGACACTTCGCTTTACGCAAATTTTAAACAAGGCAAATGAAACTGAATCACTTATGGTAGGCGGAACAAAAGGAAGAAAAATAAGTAAGTTCACTGCAATCATCTACTGGAACTTTTTAAGATTATTTCTTGCGATCAGTCAAAATGCATTGTTCATAGGTTATATAGTATCTGGAATCTATAGAGAAAACGGGGAAAAGTTGTCCTTTTATATAAACAATACACAGTTATTACTTCTAATAGGATTGTCATATGCAATAACTGTTGATGCGGAGATAGTGAGAATGATTGAAGGTAAAAAAAAACCATCACCAATCAATTATAAATCATTCAAAAATACATCACGACGACCTGCTAGAAATGTACACGATAGCTTAATAGTAAATGAAGGTGAAACAAAAGAACTTTCTGTCAATATTACTAGTATAAATATAATTAATCAAGACGATCGAGGGATAGTAAATGAAAGTGAAACAAAAAAACTTTCTGTCAAGATTACTAATAATGATGCTATAATTAATCGAGGGATAATAAATGAAGGTGAAACAAAAGAACTTTCTGTCAATATTACTAATAATGACGCTATAATTAATCAGGACGATCGAGGGATAGTAAATGAAGGTGAAACAAAAGAATCTTCTGTCAATATTACTATATAGTAATGATCCAAATAATTAATCAAACGAACTTACTGCGGCGATCACACGATGATTAACCAACATATTTCTATATTATATTGTATTAGTTACACCATACATCGTGTAATGTTTCCATATATTTACATATTTCATATGACTTTGTAATATTCAACAGATGTATTTATTTACATAACATTGGTAGTAATCAGGTGTGTCATAATTTATAATTGATAGGTATAATTTATTGAACAAAACATTGTAAAGGTTACATTATTTGTAATACCCCAAGAAGTATAAATACACTTGGGAATTGACCTGTTAGAAGAAAAAAATCTATAATCTCCTTCAAGATTGATAATTTCATCAGCTTCGGAATTGGCTTACTTTTTCTTTTATAAATGATAAAAAGAGAAATAAACTATTGACACCTTAATGTGTTTTAAATTGGTGGATATTTATTTTAATCACAAATTAAAATGTCCAAAAAATACCAACAATGATAATATGGATATTACAATTGATGGTGATGGAAATGTGGGAAGCGAAAATGATAAAAGTGATGATAATGAAACAATTAGAATAAAAAGTGGCGAAGAAGAATAAGGCGGTGGTAGTGATAATAATATTGAAAATTGTATTTAAATATTTATTTTTATATTTTTTTTGATATATTATATATTTTTTAAAAAATGCAATGCATAAAAACATGCATGATGTGCATGAAAATTTTGAAATTTCCCATCTCTAGTTGTAAATAGTCCCTGTATATATTTCTTTAGTAATACAGGGGGAAATGGTTAAGAGGGCATCTGCCTAGAAAGCATTTAGGCATATAGATATAGCTATTTGGAAGTCCCATGTGTCAGGCATTATTGTAATTGTAAGTCTGTGTGTCAGCTGTATTGATTATATTTTATTGAAATTTATATTATTATCTGTATATTATTATTGGACACCTCATGAGCTGTAGTGCTGAAAATCCCACACTCACAGTACTATCAGAAGTATTTTGAAAAAAGAACAAGGTGAGAAAATTGCTCCTTATATTTTCTAAATAAATGATACTCGGTAATTGGAAACTTATCTAAATAAAGAAAAGATTACTTATGAAATTAACCAGCAGGAGAGAAAAATCATAACTAATAAAAGAAAATTAACACAGAACCCCACAAAGAGACAGAAAGAAAATAAAATCAGTAGAGAAATAATTTGCTGTCTATCTTAGAATAATATAATGAATATATTATCTTTTAAAGATCAAAGTTAAAAATAAGTTTGACAAAAAAGAATTGGTATAGATTGGTTTAGATTCCTTGGGTTTTACTTCAATTATTTGCTCTTGTTTCCTTTTTAGGTGAATTTTCTCAGTTATCTTTTTTGTAATTTTTTGCAATTTTTTTTTCCTTAGTAATACTGACAAAAGCTTATTGGCTAAATATAATTCTTGGTTTAATTGCTGAATTTCTTGGGCTTGTTATTTTATTTCTTGCAATTCATTTCCCTTACCTTGTAAGGTCAAGAGAATACCTGGCTCTTGACTGTCTCTAATTGCTCCAAGTTTTCAGCTAATTGCCTTTTATTTCATTCTTGGGCTACTTCTAAGGCATTTAAGTGGCATTCAGCCTTTTCTTCTTCTTCCTTAACTTAGTTTTCAAATAGTCAACCAATATTTCTTTTTCTTTCAATTCTTTTTCTAATTCTTCAATCTTAGCATCTTCTTTTAATAAAGAGACTTGAGTATTTTCATTCATTCTTTCTAATGCTTCAAGTTTTTTTCTCTCTTTTAATACATTTGATCATAAAAGATTTTCCAGAAGAAATCCTTTCATTATTTGGTATTAACATTTGTTTATTTATTATTAGTTTCATAAAGAAATGTATAATTTGATATATATGTTTGAGTAACTGAATAAACATGGAATCTCAATTCGATTTTATAGTATTTATTTATGTGTTATGCAAACATTATCTTTTGAAATTAACTTTTTGGATTATTGCAAAAGGAGGCTTCTTTTCTAATTGCAATTAGAAATCCAGGCAAGAAAATTATTTCAATCTTGAAATATCAGTTTTGAATTAGCTAATTATTAATTTGAGATTATCAAATTAAACTGGTGATTATTTACACATCAAAACACTTAATGAAAGTTTTGATCATTTTATCCTAGAGGTTTTATTTCTTTGCTAGGGTGTTGATGATATTATATTGAAGTCATTTTATTAAAGAAATTGCTTGAGAATGTAAAAAAGATAGAAAAAATTATTATGGAACACAAACACAACTTTCATTCGCAAATAACTAACCATAAGCATAATTAAAGGAATGTCTTGTACTTCACATCATCAAAAAAAAAAGGAAATGAACATAGTAGATTATTATAAAGAAAGCAATGTGTTTATTAATGACGTAATATGATTATTTAATTTTTAATGTTAAGTGTGGATGAGACTTTGTGTTCAGTTTATTATGTAAAATTTTTAAATCTTATATTTTTTTATATATATCACACTGCACATATTAAAAAAATCATTTGTGTTCAAATTACATGCATCAAAGTAATTATAGCTTCCAGAGTTGGTTTACCAATGCAAATAAATAAATTATTAACCTGGGTCTGATTCATTCATTGACAATCATTTTGTCAACAGTCATTTTGTCAACACCCATTTTGTCAACACCCATTTTGTCAAAAGTTTGTTTTGTCAAAAGTTTGTTTCATCAAAAGTTCATTTTGTCAAATGTTCATTTCATTGAAAATTATTATTTTGTCACAAAAAAAAAACTTCTCCTCACACTTCCCACACACTCTGCTTTCCTCGCCTAATTTCTTAACTAACTTCCCACACTCCTCACATCTAACTTGTTCAGTCTCTGGCTTGAGGATGAAATAATTTTTGACAAAATGAACTTTTGATGAAACAAACTTTTGACGAAATGAACTCTTGATGAAATGAACTTTCAATGAAACAAACTTTCAATGAAATGGGTGTTGACGAAATGATTGTTGATGAAATGATTTTCAACAAAGTAAACACGACTGAGTCAGGAATATGCTAAATATGGAAATTGATTCTGATTGATCAATTCATATATATATAGTTGACTTGGTCCTAAATTTTGGGCAAATTTTAAAAGTATAGAAGTCACTTTCTTCCTATCTTTTAAAAAAATAGCCCTATTAGTTGATAGAATGTGTCTTTAGTTTTAATGTAATAGAGAGATTTTCTCAAAAAAATTATTTGTTGTAGAGTTCTATTCTTTTTTAAAACATGTACTTTACTATGCTCGCGAGGAATTTTCCACTATGATCATTTCTAAATTTAGGAAAAATATTACCAAATTTAGACCAGCTATTGACTATCGTATCTAAATTTGGCAGTAAGAAAACTGAAGTCCTATTTTTTGAAAAATTTTTGAATGAATTACAAAATTGCTATTTGGCCGCATGGCGCAGCAATAGGAGGTCTTTAGACCGAGCCAACCATACTATTATTATCATAATCATACGGTGAGAAATTTTGACGCCAAATTTTGAATCCTACATAACATTAATAAATGTCAATAGACAAAAATAAAGAAGACCAAGCGAAATAATAAAGAATAATAATTAATATCACACAAAATTACACCATACTAATACTGTAATTTTCAAAATCGATAGACTATTCATTCAAAAGCAAAATTTCAAAAAGTATCTATTTTTTTTTTTTTGATTTGAATGAAATAAATAAACCTTTCCCTACTTGCTATATTAAATTTTTTGGTTTGAATTTCCGCATTAGAAACAATCTAATCAAGCACTACAATTGACTCTGAGTTTGATAGAAAAACCAATCATTTGATAGTCAGTCCATAACAGTCATGGTGTATGTTTGGACTTGAATTAATGTTGTTTGACGAATGTTACCAAGTCGTAGAACTATTGCTGCTGCCATTAAGTCAAAAGTAAAACCACTTGACGTAAGTACAATTGCTTCAAAGGCTAATAATAAAATATAAAAGCTCACAAAAAAACCATATAAGTATATATTCCGAGGTCTTCCTCTTCGATTTTATATTTTTATATTTTAGTGTATGTACACCAATCTCTGAAGATTTTCAGCAATTACAAAATTCGGGAAGAGCTCAGCTACATATAATTCGACCAAGGACTGGATTAGAGCTTTTAAAGTATTTCGTGGTGATGTTGGGTATTCCATAAAGACTGAAGAAATTGATGATAAAAATATTCTAAAAAGACCAATTGTCCAAGTTTATTCTCGCAATGAAGAAAATAGACGAAACTCACCAACAACAGCACCAGTTAATTTTTACTTAAAGCCACGATGGTAAATTATGTTTAATCTTTATTATTATTATTTCGTTTATAATTTATTTAACTTGATAAATTTTCTTTTCTTTAGTTTATTCAACACTCGATGGTATTTCATCAACCATATGCACAAAAATCTCTTTTATTCTATATATGAAGATGCTAGTTTAGACAGTCAGTTTTAATGTTTATTACACGACATAAATCACAACATGCAGCATATCAAGGAATTTCGGATTTTAAATGCAATAAATGGTACGTTTTGCTTTATTATATATATATTTTTTTAATATGTTCCAAAAAATTTAATTTTTTTTGATTTTAAATTCTATAGACAAAAATAACGAATTCGATCAAAAAACTACTACATACTATTTCCGAAGAATCAATTTTATATAATAATCACCATACTAACAATCTTACTCTTGGAAGCTCTTTTACAACTGCAAAATCTTTATTACAAAGACAAGGTATATATATATATATTTATTTAAGTATTTTCCTATTTCTAATTTATATGATTGTTTTTTCTTACTTAATCACCCTCCCAAATAGTGTTGGTCGTCAAAACTATTTTGAAGAGACGAAAGTCAAAACTAAAATTAAAAGTTATATGTCAGAACTAAATCAAAAGTCAATAGTCAAAAATCAAAACTAGTTTCGACTTATGGTGAAACCTTCTGACTTTCGTACGGTTGCGAATCTCTC